AACAATAATTCCATTCCATATACATAAGTACTCCCTTTAAAAAGGAAATATCTAGAATAATTCCTCTGATTCCTCAAAAACAACATCACTACAATGTAATGGAACATATTACTGTTTCTTAGTGGTTTTTGCTCTTTGTCTTGTAGGATATGAATGAAGTCTCCAACTTTGTTGATGGTTCAATCTCAGGATGTTCCACAAACGACCTAAATTATCCTCCATTTACTCCCAGTGAGTCTTAGTGGTTAGTCTGATTAAAATGGCATTGCATATATGATAATTTAAGTTCATAATAATAAATCTGAACAACCTGGCAACATGTGCACAGGAAAAAAAAAAGTGGATAATATATTGAAAAAATAAAAGCAGGAAAGAAAGTCTAAACATCCTATACTTTCCCAAAAGAGGCATGTATTCAACAGGGGCAATCTAGTCCTTATACCTAAGTCCTAGATATGTTTAGAAAAAGATCCATAGAGGATATTGTATGTAGAAGTCAATATCACTCTGCATTGTGTACCTCCACAGGTCAGGACTTAGCAGAAAGTGACCAGAAAACTGGGCTTTGTCTTCAGATGAGGGGTAAGTCTGGTGATATCCACAATGTGAAGAACAGCCATCAGCCATGGGATAAAAAGAGGCCAGAACTCGTGGGTGGGAGGTCAAAGTCAAAGTCAGTGAATGTGGTGATTCTGAGCTCTGACTGAACTTTGGACTGTACTATCTTAGCGTGTGGCCTTGGAATTCCAGCATTGATTATAATTTGAAGAAAGCAAAATGTTCAAGGAGAAATTATATCTTGGCTGATAAAGGAACAGAGGTACTAGGATTCTAAAATCTTATGAAGACTTTGATCTGGTGGGAAAATAGGAAATTGGGGCGGATGGGTTAGAATCAAATGCTGAGGGGCTTAGATGGGAGTCTAAACAGTTCACAACAGTTCACACTACATTCTTTGGTGATAGAAGGAACTTATGTTTTAGTAAGAGGGAAGTATGATAGTCAAATGGTTTTGGACATACTGACCTAACATTTATATACAGTATTAATTATAAAATTGACCAGAGGTAAATAAGGTATTAAGAAGTTATTACATAGTTATAAACTTCCTGGAACGGAGCTAGACAATTGGAAACAGAGGTGAAGAAAAACTTAATGTTTATGTGTGGGCTTTTATACATTTTAGATATTGTACCATGCTCATGTATTAATGCATTATCCATCCAAGATTAATTACAATTTAAAAATAAAACTATTGGTTGGACTTGGTGGCTCAGCTTGTAATCCTAGCACTTTGAGAGGCCAAGGTGAGTGGAATGCATGAGCCCGTGGGTTCGAGACCAACCCAGGGAACATGGCGAGACCTGGACTCTACAAAAAAACAAAAATTAGCCAGACGTGGTAGCGCGGGTCTATAGCTTCAGCTACTTGGAAGGCTGAGGCGAAAGGATCGCCTCATCCCAGCAGGTCAACGCTGGGGTGGCCATGAGTGTGCCACTGCACTCCAGCCTGGGTGACAGAGTGAGACTCTAACTCAAAACAAAATAAAAAATAGAAGATAAAACTATCACAAAATGGTTAATTATAAATATTAAAGAATCTTGGAAAAATGCAAAGAAAAAATAAAAATATCTTGCAATTTTGGAAACTAGACAATCACTAATTGCATTTTGCCTTCTGATTTTTTGTTGTTGGTGTTTTTGTTTGTTTGCTTTTGGTTGGTGTTAATGTATAGATACAAACATGGAATTGGGATAAGACTGTATTACAACATTTTACCACTTTATTATATACTGAGCAGATTACTGAATTACTAAATTATTTTCTAAATCATACTTTAAATACTATATTTTAAATGATATTTCATCATATATTTAACAAAATCATTAAAATATTGGAATTATTTTGAGAGAGAAAAAAAGAAGACGATATTATGGTAGTTAAGATCCAAAGATAATTTAGGTTGGAACCAGCATGGTGCAATGGAAGTGAGTGGTACAATGTATGCAGAGAAGAACAGGTGAATGAAAGAGATATTAGAAGTCATTCTTTGTGACATATGATCAAGAAAGAGGAGTCAGAAATTAATTGATACTTTCATCCAATATTTCTATTCTTGAACTCCTTAACTTAGCTCAGTTTGAAGAATTCAGATTGGGCCTCAAGTCAAACCACATCTTCTTGCTTCTGGTTGCCTGCCTCTAGTCACATGAGAGCCTAGGTGGGAGGATGTGTGTGGCCAGCACAGTTTACTATGTATCAGAGAAACTGCCGCAAATGTATAGTGTTCAGAAGCAGGATTTCTACAATAAGGGCCTGCCCAGGGAAGCTGTCATTTCAGGCTGTCTGATAGTGAAGGAGTAGGAAATGTGTACCTTAGGTTCTGACTGATCCCTCTTTTGTTTCAGGAGTCCTGGATGGGTATCTTTTCTGAAAGAGTCTCTGCATGGATGCAGTACAGCACTGGGGAAAACAATATGATGTTCGCAATCTGTATGGCTACTCCATGGCGATTGCAACAGCAGAGTAAGACCACTATATTGATCTGTTAGAGGCTGGGCTACTCATATATGTCATTTTTGAAACCTCAACGAGATAAATGTTGTTGTCATTATAGACTGAATGAAGAAATTGCCTAGCATATAGGGAAGAATCCAATAAATATGTGTGGAGCATGCAAAATGAAAGAATATGTGAATCAAAAACATAGATAAAAAGATGGAAGAAAAAGAGAAGTTAAGATCAGGTGTGGTGGCTCACACCTATAATCCCAGCTGTTTGAGAGGCCGAGGAGGGAAGATCACTTAAGGCCAGGAGTCAAGACTAGCCTGGGCTACAGATTGAGTACCTATGTCTATAAACTTAAAAAAAAAAATTAGCTAAACACTGGGGTGCTTATCAATAGTCCCAAACTACTTGGGAGGCTGGGTGGAAGGATCATTTGAACCCAGCAATTGAAGCAGTGAGTTATGGTCACAGTATTGTACTCCAGCTTGGGTGACAGAGTAAGACCCCGTCTAAAAACAAAACAAAATAAACAAAGAAATAAAAATTAAAAACAACAACAACAACAAAAAACAGAAAGAGAAGGAACTTATCCAAGGCCAAACCAAACAGCTAATAAATTGCAAAAGCAAAATTTAAGCCTTTTGTTTTTCATGAGTCTAAAGCCCATGTATTTTCCCTCTTGACACATTGTATTTACTGAAGTTGGTAATTTGTAGATGTCCATGTGCTTTGGAATTTTTAGATATTGACTCAACAGCACTCTGGTCTGTTCTTTTTACTTTTGTATGATGACTCAAATTCCATAATGAAAAAAAGGCATTGAGAATTTATTCTATATACTGAAATGGTGACAGCAGAAAATCAAACCAGAACCATATTCATTCATTAGCAAAGTACTGCATGTAATTTTGGTGCTTTTGAAAGTTGTTGAAAAATTCATAGTAAAAACTTTACAAAGACTTCTAATTTAAAAATATAGATGATATACACTTATATTTAATTACAAAAGTTAGCCCATACACATATAATTTTAAAATGTCTTTTCTTGTTACAAAATTATTACCAAAGTGCTTCTTCCTAAAAAAATTTTAGTTCCAAAAGTCTGTCCATAAGTTCATTTTTTTGTGTGTGTGGAAGAGTAAACTGAGGCAAGGTGGGCTGATGCCATGGGAATAATGCATGAGTGGATGGGTCTTTGTGGAGAGACACTGAAATGACTAACAGTGTACTCTTTATTTTTTCCATACAAATCACAGAATTTAGATATTATTTAAAAAGGAAATAATCCGTCCTTTAATATTTTTTCACATATCTTATTATACTTTTAATAATTCCTTCTTTTTTTTTTAAGTCTCATTCTCTTCTAGGGCAGTATACCAAACCTACATGTCCTCTTTCTACTGATGTGGCTAAAAGTATTGTGTCAATTACCTACAAAGTTATATAAAACCATTTAGTTGTGACATTTATGTCACCCTCAGACTTTGTAGGTTACCTAATCACTAGAATTGGGTACATTGGAAGAGCTGGCGAGAGGGATGCAAAGGTCAGCGAAGTGTTTCAGATGAAGAAGGGTGTGTCATGTGTTGTATCCCAAAGAGCAATCATGAAGTCAGGGGACAGGCACTTGAACAAGAGGAACCCTCTCTGCCTGGGTACTTCAGGTGAAAGCCTTCCAGAGTTCAGCTTCATTACTACTGCACATGCAGTGAGTCAGGCAACATGTGTAAATACAAAGGGGAGATTTTTGTAGTCCTTGTCTATGCCAGTGTTGGTTGTTTGAAGAACCTGTGGTTTAAAGAAGTCATTCTGACTTGCTAAAGTAAGAGTGCAGGGAACTGAGAGGAGGAGATTCTTGTTAGACTTCACAAAGATTTCCTGTGCTTTCTAACTACTAATTGCACGGGTCCTTCTGGGACAAAGGTCATAATATTCTAGGCTTCGAAGTGCAGGAACCCAACCAGGGGTTTCCCATTAGTAGCCAGAATTTCATCTCCAGCTTTGATACTCCAGCTTGTTCAGCAGCACCACTGGGGAAAATAAATAATGATTGGCACTTTCATGGGGTCAGAAAACTCCACGTAAACTGAAACCTTAAACAAGAACAATCTCTACATGATATATATGCCCGTATTCTTAGGATGGGAAGACGTTTCTTAAAAGGCACATATACTTAAAAGTAAATTGGACTCCATCAACAATTTCAACTCTAACGTCCCCACTCCCCACCTCAAGCAAGATAAAAACAACTAACAAGGGGAGGATACTTTCAACATATTTAATCAACAAAGGGTTAATATCCAAACTATAGAACAACAAATTAACAGCACAACAAAGAGAATTTGGGCAGAGGAAATCAAAAGCTAAAATTTAAACAGTTCATAAATTTGAGAAAGCGGGCTCAACTTTTAACTGTTAACAGATATCGGCTGAGAGAGGCAAGTTCTCTCCTCCAAGTACTAAGCAGGCAAGACCATGCTTATCTTCCAAAATCAGGCATGAAGGGTTATATGGCGGGAGACTGAGAGAGACAGGTTTTGAGAACCAGTGCTGCAGGGCCAGCTGTCTTCTGAAGCTGCCAGAGTCTTGCTGCACTCAGGAGGAACTGCTGTCTTCTCCCCTGGGAATGTGCTGCCCTTGTGGGCAAGTGTATCAGAAATTATGAGCTTGGACTCGGAGAGCCTGGGTGGCTGGCTGGGGTGCTCGGGTTGACTGCCTTGACCTGCGTCTGCCAAGGGTTTGCTGGGGTCAGGATGAGTGGCCCCCTTCTTCCTTGATGAAGGGAGGTCGGGGGATCTCTCCAGCCCTGTGTGAAGAATGGAAATAAAAGATGAGGTTGTAGAGGAAATAAAGGGGACAGTAGACAGAAAAATCTCTCAATTGTGAGAAACTGCAAAACTGTAAACAACCTTCATATTTTTTTTCCTTTTACAGAAAGACATTCTGCAGCCTGAATGTAGGTCTTCTTGTCTTTGTTTTTGTCTCTTAAATTAGAGAGTACCCACATCTAACTAATACTAACCTGCTTTAGATGCTCTAAAATAACTCAGACTAGCTGATAAAATGGACATTTGAGTGGTCTGCCCATTTTCCTCTCTCTTTATTTTTTTTAAGGATGGGGGATCCCAGAAATCATTCCCTTGGGTTTCTTTCTACAATCCACTCTTCATAGAAAAAGCTACAGGAGTCAGACTGTTGTTCTGTTTTACCCCTTGGCCTTGGTGTGGTTTTGGGAGCGGTCTCACATCTCCCTCAGTCCCGTGTGGCTTATCCTCAGGCTGTGGGATGTTGTGGACATCATACAGTCAAAAATGGTCCAAGCACCAAACTTAAGAGACTTCCTTTTTAGCACAGGAACTGAGACTGACTGGGGCAAACATACAGAATATTTCAGTCAAGATACAAGTCTACATGGAGCTTTAGCTCTGACTTGATGGTGTTGGAGGAGAGGGAAAGCGGAAAGGCTAGATTGTTCTGGGTGGACCTGACGAGAATGTCGAGATGTGAGTGGAGTTTCCAGGGGGTAGTTTGGCCAAAGTGTGATGAGGAGGAAGGCAATGAAGACCACAAGAGAATTCATACTGCTAAAATGTTCGCTCTACCCAAAGCAATCTAAAGTTTCCAAGAAACCCCATCAACATTCCAATGACAGTTTTCACAGAAATAGCAAGAGCAATCTTTAAATTTGTATGGAACTAGAAAAGACTCTGAATAGCCAAGCCAATCTTGAGAGAAAAAAGAAAGAAACTGAAAAAGAACCCCAAAAATAAAACCAAAGTAAGTAGCATCACATTACCTCACTTCAAATTATAATACAAAGTTATAGTCAGCAAAAATAGCATAATACTGGCATAAAACCAGATACATAGACCAATGAAATATTATAGAGAGTCCCAAAATAAATCTACACATCTATAGCAACTGATTTTTTTTTTTTGAGTTGGAGTCTCACTCTGTCGCCCAGACTGGAGTGCAGTGACCGCTCCCGGCCACCGCAGCCTCGACCTGCTGGGCTCCGGCGATCCTTCCGCCTCAGCCTTCCAAGTAGCCGGAATTACAGGCATGCGCTACCACGCCTGGCTGATTTTTTGATTTATTGTAGAGATGAGGTCTCGCAACTGATTTCTGACAAAGGTACCAGGAACACACACTGGAGAAAGAAGAGGCTCTTCAATAAATGGTACTGAGAAAGTTGGAGATCCATATACAGAAGAAGGCAACTGGACTCCCATTTCTCACTACATACAAAAGACAATTCACAATGGATTGAAGATGCAAATGTAAGATCAGAAACTATGAAGCTATTTGAAGAAAACATAAGAGAAACACTTTATAACTTTTGACTGGGCAAAGTCTTGGATAAAACTTCAAAACCACAGTCAATAAAAGCAAAAAGAGATAAATGGGATTTCATCAAACTAAAAAGCTTCTTTCATCAGAGCAAAGGAAACAATAAAATGAAGCGGCATCCTACAGAATGGGAGAAAAGTTTTGCTAACTATACATCCGATAAAAGTTTAATACCCTGAATATATATGGAACTCAAACAACTTTATAGCAAACAAACAAAAACAACAACAAGCAAACCAAAACCATCCATAGAATAAACCAAAAAATCAGCTGGGCGTGGTGCTGTGCACCTGTAGTTCCAGTTACTTGGAAGGCTGAGGCAGAAGGATCACGTGAGCCCAGCAGGTGGAGGCTGCAATGGCTGTGAGTATGCTACTACACTCTAGCCTGGGTGACAACGTGAGATGCTGACTCAAAAAAAAAGTTCAACAGGAAGAATAAATTCTGCTGTTCTATTTCATCGTAGGTGACTCTAGTCAACAATAAGGTACTGTATTTCTCCAAATAGCTGAAAGTGAGGATTTTGAGTGGTCCTACCTTAAGGAAATGATAAATGTTTGAGGTGACAAGTATGCTAATTTGATCATTACACAATGTACATGTATTGCAACATCATTTTTTACCTCCAAAATATGTACACTTATATGCAAATTTAAAAAACAGAAGGCGACAAAGGAAGGAAAGCAGACAGAAGAAACAGCATGAAATCTCAGAGGAACAGGGCGAGGTGATGCATGTCAGAGGACAGTGGGAAGCAAAGTCATCAAGGAGATGAGGGCCAAATTCACTTTGTCGTGGAGGTGTCTCTTAATAAGGCCCTGCATGCTCTTGGCTAATCTGTCCACCTCTGACACACAGCATCTTAAAATAAGGAAGAAATAAACTGACATTAAAAAAGAACAAGCTGTTTTCTCAGGAACTGGTATAAGAAGGAATAGCTATATTTCTTAGGAACTATGAGTCTGAGGTTAATGAAAAACTCAGTCACATGAAAGTTCTGGGTCTGAGAAGTGTGTCTACCTACATCTGTCACATAAAATTATCCTTTTTTCCCCAGTCCTCCCAGACTTGAGAGTTGTGATATGATCATGGTTCACTCCAATCTCAACCTCTTAGGCTCAAGAGATCCTCCCACCTCACTCAGCCTACTGAGTAACTGGGACTATAGGCCTATGACACCCAACCAGACTAATTCTTTGATTTTTTTTTGGTAGCATCAAGGTCCTGTTATGTTCTTCAGGCAAGTCTTGAACTTCTAGAAAATGAGAGGGTCTGGTTTAGCCACTGTTAACCCCTGGGTGTAGATTGTGTGTGTCAACCCATTTACTGCATATTTGAGTGACCAGTCATTGTCAGTGGTTGTATTTCTCACAAGTAAATTCTGTATTTAGTGTATAAGGACAACTCCTGCTCAACCAGAAGCATATTTTCCAGTATTTTTTTTTTCATGGTATAGCACCAGGATAGTTGAGCCAACGTGGCCTCCAGCATGGAGGTGGAAAGTTGTCACTGCTTACTGGAATGCAAAGCCCAGGACCCTCCAGGGCTCTCTTGCATACCAGAGGTGCAGGAAGGCAATGTGCTGGCCTGTGATATGCTGTAGCCACTTCCTGGGCAATCCTCGTCCTCAGAGCCGGCCGCCATCAAGTCTGACAAGGGGCCAGGGACATCGTGGATGAAGTCCGGGGAGCGATCAGATTCAGAAACAGGGGAATCCTGTTGAAGAAGAAAATGTCAGAGGACTAAGAAGACATACCAGAAGCAGATTTTAAAGGGCAATCACTTCCTGCCTTTCCAAGAACACTTTGTTCTAATCCATGACCATTCCAAACAGCTGAGATAGTAATGGCTATATTGATAACTGTTGAATGAAAAAGTGGCTGCTGCCAGATAATGTTTTCCAAGAGTTTTGGGGCCATAACTTGGCAATTATCAGAAAAGCCACAGCAGCAGATCAGCCATCCTAGCAAAAGATTTGGGGACATCATAGGAAAGCAGAAAGCAATTACAAGACAACTTCTCAGGCCAACTGAGGAACAACAACCAGGAGAGCCTGAATCATGCACCCTGATCCATTGAGACATAGGTGAGCCTAGCTGAGGATGATTCCACAGTCTCCTTAAAGTTGCAAGAACCAATAAGAGCTACTTGATTATGGAACAGTTTGAAAGTTATTTTGCCAGCCCTAGCTCAGTTTTCTAATTGTGTTGCTCTAGTCTTTTTCTGAATGAATAGTTAACAAACAAAACACACATCTGTGCATTTGTTCTTCAATTAGTGATGCTGCTATTTAGTAGCAAAAAATGACTCATGGGTAGAAACAGAAACTGGGCCTTCAGGTTTGACCTGGGGGCTCTTGGAGTCAGTGTGTGGTCCTACTAAGAGTGGTAGGCAACAGTGCATCTTGACTCACCCTTTTTGCAAAAGAGGCACTCTTCGACAGGGAACCTGTTGGGGGAAAATTCACTATATTGTCAAACATTGAAGTTCATATCACAAATGGCTCACGTTTTTAAGGAAAACGTGGTGCCAAGCATATTCAACAAAACTCCCTTTCATTGGCAGGCACTGATGGGTGTGTGTACAGATGCTGACATACATGCAGTCTACCTAGTACACAATCCTCATACCCCTCTCCTGCCAAGATTCTGCTTTAAGCCCTCGCTCAGATACTACTACCTACGTGATGACCCCAGTGAAATTGATGACCCCAGTGGAAGTAACTACTTCTCAATTTCCAAAGTATTTATTTCTAGACACACATCCATTTCTATAGATGCAGTGAAATTTAATTAGAGGGGGTGTATCTCATCTCCCTTCCTCAATTTTTAAATAATCTATAGGGCAGAGATGTTGACTGATATGAGTCAACATTGCAGAGCATCATACCTGGAAAGTACTAAATGCTCAATGATATTTGATAAAAGGATTAAAGAATGAAAAGAAAACCACCTTTCAAGAAAACAATAAAAAGAACTAGGAGAGGGTTGAATACCTATTTCAGCTTTTAACTGAGGAATGAAAAGTCTCAGGATTTAAACTCCATGCCATGAGCAATTGAGACCATGGATATGAGGATCAAGACATGTGAGCAAAGGCCACTGGAATGATAGGAGGATCACGGCTTAATACACTGTTATATAATGATTGAGTATAAAGACTGGAATTATGAGCGCACAGCTTTCAGGCAGGTCAGAATAATGAACTGGTTGAATAAAGAGATTATTATGGCCATGACTCCTTTAAATATATTAATTATCAATGCAAATTATTAGGATATTTCATCATTGCCAAAAACCCTGTGTCTTCCTTTTATCTGACAATCAGTACCCATATGTCAACCCACGTATCAATACACAAAATGCTTCCAACTTGCTCTTGCAAATTATCTGGAAGTCATGTCAGAATCATGCATTATTAGATCTTTAACTAAGCACATTAAATAACCCCAGAAATCAAAAGTAGCAGCCAAAAGAAAGTATAGATTATCTTTGGCAATTACTTTTGCAAAACCTGAGAATGGTTAAGAATCAGATAATATTGCCCTGGAGAGTGCTCCGTGAGTGACTTTCACGAGAAACTCTTCTAAATGTTGAATGAAGATGAGCAATTACAGTACCTAAGCCAGAAGAATTGGCCTCCTTGCTCTCCTGGGTAGTGCTGCGTGCTATTGCTTCATCCATTTCCTTCTCGGAAACCTGTTTTTAGTAGAAAGCATGAATTAGATGGTCGTATTGATTTATTTCCTCCCAGTAAAAGTAGCTAGGCCCAGAGTCTGAGTAAAGTGCAGATAAAAGGATAATCACAGAGTCAAAGATCATGACCATTCTCTGAAGCAGTAACTCAGGGCAAGTGAGCAGGACAACTGGCTTATGGATTGCTTTTCTAAAAATGCAGACATAACAAGGCCTTCAGTCAGTTCATCAAGCAAAATATTGGGTGCTATGATGACCAACAATGTGGCTGATAGCTGCCCTGCTCTAGAATATTCACTTCTAATTCGTTTTTTAAAAATTAAAGAATTTTAAACCGACATAAAACATGTAAAAGTATTCAAGAATAGCATATTCTTCACCTAGATTTATTAATTTTTTCATTTTGCCACATTTACACACATGTCTTCTCTCTATACACACACACACATACACACACACAGACAAGTTAAAGTGTTTTGCTACATCATTTGTAAGTTGCTGACATCATGACAATTCACCAGTAATTATTTTAGCATGCATCTCTAAAAAAACAAAGACATCCTCTTTAATAACCATGATACTGTTCAATTTGGGGAATTTAACATTGATGGCTATTTAATATACATGCATCTTCCAATTTAGTCAACTGTTCCAATATTCCTTTAGAATTGGCACTTAAAGTGTGTCCTTAGATCAAGGCTAGTTCACTGAAATTTGAAGGCAGCCTGTGATGAGATAAGGACCATCCTCCAGAATGCAAATTCACATACTGCTTTCTTCATGAACAATGTCTTGGGAGGTTACAAAAAATATCACTGAAATAAATGGTGTATACAGTGATGTAATTGATTCACCTTCTGGTGCAAGAGCTTCTTTTGTGCACCTGAGGTAGACTGCCATAAGCCAACTTCTTTGCATAGTAATGCTTTTTTTTTTTTTTTGAGTTGGAGTCTCACTCTGTTGCCCAGACTGGAGTGCAGTGGCCGCTCCTGGCCACCGCAGCCTCGACCGGCTGGGCTCCGGCAATCCTTCTGCCTCAGCCTTCCAAGTAACCGGAATTACAGGCATGCGTTACTATGCCCGGCTGATTTTTTTTTTTTTTTTTTTTTTAAATGGCTTTGGCAACCCAGAATTGAGCTGTCCTGGGTGTTTAGTCTCATTTAATCTGAAACAGTTTCAGAGCTTGCTTTTGTCTTTCACGTTACTGATATTTTGGAAGAAACCAGGCCAATCCAAACCCTCAATTAGGATCTGTTCAATAGTTTTCTGAAGCATTCCTTAGGCCCTCTGTTCCACTTTCTAGATGCTTGGTAGGCTGACTGCTTTGAGCCTCCATACTTATCCCAATTTCCCTGCAGGGCCTCCTCACAGATGCTCTGCCTCTTTTGTTCAGTACCAGGTTCACGTGGTCTGGTGGCACCTATGGCTGGGCTGCTAACATTAGACTTGAAGGATCTTCCCTCCCTACCATGTAAAATGTGCCAGTAAGAAAAGATGATTTCTGGGTTTATTCTCCACAGAAGACTCTATGGGTATTTATGCAACCAGAAAATGGGATGTGCTGCAGTGGTTTGGGATGTCCCGTTGTCTCAAGATGCCATGTGGTTTCTCTTCTCTCCCATGGAACCTGTCACGTTAGAAAGGCCAAGAAAGAACTCCCACATTCAGAATGTGTCTCTAGCAAAACAAGCAAAACCAGCATTGTAAAATGTGAACATAAGCTAAATGTCTTGGTTGGGAGAATTTCAATATTTATTTATGCTATTTAGGTAGATTCAAGAACATTTGTGTGAGTACTTAAGGGAAAAGATCCTAGCATAGATTTAAAAATTTAGTCACTTAGACAGAAAAACTGAATCCTCCATAATTTTTAATAAACTTAGCAAGTAACTTCTCCATGATAGTTTATTTGAAATGCTGGGCGTTATCCCCCTCCAACTTCTATGAAAGCAAAATCCATAAATGACTTTAGCAAATTGGCAATTGGTATACCAAGCCAGAGTGAAAATTCTTTTTGACCTAACAAACAATTAACTGAAAATCTGGAAGGAAATATTCCTCTTCAAATTTGAAGACTTTTATTTTCCTTTAGAGTATCTGAAAATCCTTGCACTCCAGAAATTCTATAAAAATGCAAACATAGTCACTAATTTAAGTGAATCCATGTTAAATTCTAAATATCATCCTTCCAACTACTATAAAAAATTTATATTTGTACCATTTCAATATTGACACACTCTCATTTCTTACTTGAAGAAAGCTTAAAATTCACTTAACCTATTTCAAAAATTACTTAGCATTAAACTTAAAAAAGAGAATTACTAATATGTGGGAAAACAAAATACTGTAGTTTTCTGTGTTTTGGGGAGGGCAGATTTGAGTTGGGGGTCTGACTCTGTTGCCCACTCTGGAGTGTAGTGTCATGAACACAGCTCACCACAGCCTCAATCTTCTGGGCTCAAAAAATCTTCCTACCTCAGCCTCCCAATTACCTAGGACTGCAGATGTGCACACCACCATGTCTAGCAAACTTTTTTATTTCTTCATTGAGATAAGGTCCTACTAAGGTCCCTTGGCTTGTCTCACACAGTCCTCCTGCCTTGGCCTCCCAAAGTGCTGGGATCATAGATGTGAGCCACTGTACCCCAGTTGGCAAGAAAAGCTTTCTTATCTTGAAACTGAAAGGGTCATAGAGATTACCGAACCTAAGGCGCTCTGACTCTCAGGGTAGAAAAGCAGAGTTAAATGTCTTGTCAGAAAGCCGGGCTCGGTGGCTCAGCCTGTAATCCTGCGCCTTTGGGAGGCTGAGTTGAGTGGATTGCCTGAGCCTGCGGGTTTGAGACCCGCCTGGGCAGGCGAGACCTCATCTCTACAATAAAAAAAAAAAAAAAATCAGCTGGGCATGGTAGCGCGCGCCTGTAGTTCCGGCTACTTGGAAGGCTGAGGCAGAAGGATAGCTGGAGCCCCAGCAGGTTGAGGCTGCAGTGGCTGGGAGCGGCCACTGCACTCCCGTCTGGGTGACAGAGTGAGACTCCAACTCAAAAAAAAAAAAATCTTGTCAGAGATCAAACAGCAGATGGGAATACCAGTATTCAGAGCTTGGTATTCCCATCTGCCAGCATATGAAATTTCAGTTGTGCCAAATAACACTGTCAAAATTTTCAAATACGAGTATCTGAGAGTGCAAAGATGAAGTCCAGATCAAAGATTCATTACCCACACATACCAGCCAGAGGCTGGGTGACCTTCTCATCAAAGAGTGTATAAGGATGTGTAGTGTCTTCTCATACTTAGAACAGGAAGAAATATTTTACCTTTGGATTAGGGTGCCGGCTGATGACAAGGCGTACGGGTCCTGGAGGGCATTGGCTTAAGATGGTATGGACCTTGCTTAAAACAGCATACCGGACATTGATCGAGTTCACTTCCAGGATTTGATCTCCACGGCTAGGAAGGGTGACAGAATTCACATTCAGTTAGCAGCGAGATTCTTACACGCTCAAAAAGGCTTTGCTTCTGGGAGAGGTTTACATACAAAATCTTTCTCATCTTGACTTACATAAAATAAAGCAACACATTCATAGAAGCACATGAGATTTTACATTGGCAAAGGCCATTATGTCTTGTGCTGGCATTTTCAGAAGTACCTGGGCAACTTGGTGAGACTTCATCTCTACAATAAATAAAAAAATCAGCTGGGTGTGGAAGTGCACGCCTGTAGTTCCAGCTACTTGGAAGGCTGAGGCGGAAGGATCGCCGGAGCCCAGCAGGTAGAGGCTGCGGTGGCCGGGAGTGGCCACTGCACTCCAGTCTGGGTGACAGAGTGAGACTCCAACTCAAAAAAAAAAAAAAAATTAAAAGTAGGACAACAAAGGCTATCATTTCTTGAGCACATACTGTATGCCAGGACTACACAAGGTATTCTATATAACAACGTTTTGAGTAGGTTTGATTATTCTCATGTTGTAGTTAAGGCCACAGGCTCAGAGAGGTCACCCAGATGTCATACGCTGCTTAAATAACTCAGGTCTGTCTGATTCTCAATCACCATGTGATATAGCATCTCACCACCATCAGTTGCTTCTTCCTACCATCTTGAAATGATTATGGTGATATAACTTAAGGAGGAAATACCTATAGCACAAAGCTTATCCAATAATTTGTTAAAACTTTTCAAATGTGAAAAAATAAGAAATTGGAGACAAGTTGCCCATTTTGACGTGAAATTGTAGGAAGAGAACTCAGTAGCAGTGAACAAAGACTCTTTCTAGGGAGTCTGAAGAATGTTCATTTGGCAGGCTCAGACATATGGAGCCATTCAAGAAAGAAACATCATCGTGGGATGTCATTAAAGGACTCTTTTTTCCCTTGGATTCTAAAAATATATTTTCTTTCACGTACTTTGATTCGTTAAATTTTTATATGAAAATTCACTGATAATTAACTAAAAACGTAATATATGAGCAGTAATATATTAACAGAGCCACAAATGGCAACCTCAGCAAATGCTGTTTTGACAAATCCTCAACCACTAAAGGACTTAGAAGTTTATAGGTAGGACAGATGATACTGTTTGGACAAAGTGCTTTGTGTGATATGGGTACATTACTGTGACATTTAGGTGGGCACCTACCCACTGCAATTACTATTAAATAGAACACCTTGACAATTCCTGTATAAACAGAACATCCATGCTGCAGCTCAACTATCTGGATTAAAATCAGACACTCTGATTTCAGACAATAGGCACCTAACATCATCATTCAAAAACGGAAGGAAGGCAACTGAAAAGGTTCAAGAGAATAGTTAATAAGAAAAGGTCTCCCTTTCAAGGGCATGATTTTAGGACCCTTGTATCCAGTAATTCTGAATTATGATGAGTACTCCCGGTTTTTCATGTGAATCTTACATATATGAATCTAAAATAAAAGAAAATATTGAGATAACCGTTGATATTCATACACAGCTGTGTTTACCAAATAGAACACAAGCCAAGATCTGTAGTTCTCTAATTCAACCACATTTCATTTAGATTAGCATTTTCATTTTTGGAGATGCTATTGAACGTAGTCTTGGCTGTATGATTGGAAATAATTCCAAGTTTTATCATCCCTCAGTGGAACATAGTAGAGCAGATATCACCCTGAACACACCGGAGTCTCACACTGTCAGATATACAACAAACCTCAGGTTGCTCCTCAACTTGGCCACTGATCCTGGGGCAAGGCTGTGAATGTAGATGCCTGGAGCGCTGTTTTCTAGAGCCAAGCAGCAGGGACCAATGCCTAATCCAATTCTTGGCTCTATGAGAGGCATCATTCAAAGAAAACAAAAACAAAAGTTACACAGAAACCAGAAGAGGAGGTATTACTGATTTGAAACTGGATTAATATATATTCTAACAAATACCCTTTTATTTTTGGTACAGACTCAGAAAGCAAATCCCACATCCCTGGAGTAAAGTTGCCATTTCGCTTAAGGAAATGAGTCCACAGCTAGACTGGCGCTAACTATGGACATGGGAATGATTCAATGATCTGCTCTCTTCTTAGTCTAATCTACCTACACAAAACTATTTTTGAAAATAGGCAGAGTGCAAGTAACATTTTTATTCTGGATCTACAACACTAAGCCTTTTTTTGTCTCTCGATTTTACAACCCATTTCTTAGTTATTTTTCATCACATTTCTACAGTAGGTGGTGAGGAAAAGTAAACAAAGATGAAAAGCAGTAAGATTTGATGATCACCCATGATTGCAGTTTCTGGTGTAAACTGTATTCTTAACTAGGATCTTTTGTTCTCTAAAATTTGTAATAGCTCTAGACTTCAGCTTGTCAGGGATTTTTTTAAACATAAGCCTATGATACACAGTCATTCATCTGGGGAGAGATTAGGGAGTTCTATCCTACTGGTGACTTCCCCTCACTTTGACTAAAGTGACAAAAATCTCTCCTTTTGATCCCAATGTCCATGTAGAAAACATCACCTGCCGTTGATAGGAAAGTGTTCCAAAAAAAATTCATAGATAACCCTCTAAACAGATTCCATATTGTGATTCAAGAAATGCAACAAAAGTGAGGAACAGTTTGTATCACCTTTGTGGAGTGTTACTTCCATGACAATTCTGTCCTTAGGCCCAGGAGTCCTCCGACCCCAGAATGAAGAACTGCCTTCATCAGAGCCTCTCAGAGAGGCTCCCGCATTGTTGAGGAAGTTCGGGGAGTCGGATCTGTTCATGTGTGTGGCTGTTGAGGAGGTCGTGAGTTCGGGGCTCAGCAACTCTGTGCTGACGGTTAAGACAAACAATCCTCTCCGGTTTTGCTGGAAAACAAGGGGGAAGGTGGGCTAAACACTCAGACAGTCCTTAAATCAAAGGGTCAAAAAATCTTGCCCAACCCAAGCCAGAAAGAAATAAAAGACAAAAAGAAATAGGGTAAAGGAGATCCATCAGAATGTTACCTTCAAGGTCTGAATGGCTTCTTGAAAGGTCAAGCCCTTTATTGGTGTTTCATTTATAGAAAGGATCTCATCCCCTAGTGATCAAATGTAAGAATCACATTAACATTCACCTTTAATGTCCTAGACTCTTACTGCTTTTTCTGTGCTATAACAGGACAGTGGTCCCTGCTTTACTTATCTAAAATGACTTTGATTGTTCCGATCCACTTACCTTACTTACCGAGTTCCAAGTGTTCCTCATAGTCATTGCTGGGAAGCTTAAGTCCACTGGCAATGAAGCATGAATCACATTTGAGAAACTACTTCTGCATTTGCAGAAATACAAGCTTCCCAGGTACAGTGTATGGGAAATGATTTGAAAGATAAAGACAAAACAACCTGCTGAGATAGTTGAGAAATGGCAGCTCAACCTTCTGAAATAACCTAGATGTCTGGTCTTATGGATGTGGTTCCAGGTACTGTCATGAAGCTGGCAAATTGCTATAGGCTTCTATCTCAGAGATGATAGTGGGGTCGTGTTCAATCGTTAGGCAAGTGAATGCACAGGATACCGCATTTTCCCCCACATCCCTACCAGCTAGACTATCATCTTTAGTCCCTACAAGGTGCAGTCAGGTCATTTTTCAAGTTGTTGATAGTGTCTGCTGAAACTACAAAAGAACTTGGACATCCTGTTGACTTCTCAGAGCTCGTTTCTGGTTTACACTCTTGTGACCTGTGTAGTTTTTTGGAATAACAGTTCATCAAAAATACTATAAAGATGCCCCAGAGAGAAGAACACATGAACTCTACACAACAGTGCAGTATGAAAGAGGGATGTCATACACCTATAACAAAGTGCAAAACAGTGTAAGAGCACAGACTTCCACCTCTTATAGATAGCCGACCCCAGGAGCACACTTCTATGTATGATCATAGGAATCCTGTAGATGACTGTTCATGCCTTCTCTTTAATGCAATTACAAAAGTTGTAAAATAGGTGAAGTCAAGGTACCTCTGTTGAAAAATCACCAGGAATAACCAGTGAGGTGAGGATGTTTATATTTTGGAGTAGTTTCCACATGGAAAAGGAGCAAATAGTAAATGACTGCTACGTTCCTAAAGTGTATACAAAGTTTTTAAATGACATATCACTCAACGAGTTGAAAATCCATTAAATGACATATTTCTTGTAAATGCACACACATGAAGAAGCTGTATTGAAGAGAATCAAGTGCTATTAACCTTTCTTAACAATTGATTTTTTTTCCATCTTCCTCTATTTTGTCAGCCTTGGAGGATGATTTCAATCAGGTAAACACATGGAACATCCATTATGGAAATGCTCTGCTAGTATTTTACATTCTTCTGAAATGTCATACAAACACCACCTGGTAGTTAACACTTCCTCTAAAAGACAGAAAAACATTCTGCCATAGAAGCATTAAATCTGGTCATGTCTTACCATTGAGCATAGAGACTTCCATGGATTGTTATGCTTAAAAAATAGGCAATTCATTCTTATTTTCTTAGAAAAAATAGTATAACAGCATCAATATATCGGTCATTAGAACTGAACACTTACAGAATTTTTGATGGTAACCAAAAATATTTGAAATTAGTAATTTCATGAAGGAAACAGTGAGAAGAAAAACATCAGAATTCATGTTTTGGTGAATGCTATTTAAAATATGTTCATAACTTGTTGGTAATTTTACCTTATAAAAAGTATATAATATTAATCCAGATACATATTTTAAAAATATATAGATATGCAAATATATATTTAAGATTCTTTGTATTAAAAGTAACTACCGTGTCAGTCCATAAAGGAAACATTGATTTATTTAAATTATATTTTCTCAAGTATCATGATATGTTCAAGAAGAACGAATGAGTTCTGAATCAATGATTTTGTTTTTAAACAAGGCAACAGTAGTAAGATGGAGGAGTGACTCAAACTTGGTTCAGAAATCTGGTCTGGCATTGTTTTGTTAAGCACTGACCAGACCATGTGTTCCTTAAGCTATGGCCGCCATGTTTTCTTAGCTTTGGTCCCCCATCCCCTACCATGGGAGATGAACCTCTCTCTTTGTTTCTCTTTCTCTCTCTAATTTACTTTGTAAATAAACCATATTATCCAACCTAAAAAAATAAAAATTTACTTATGTTATTTACCAAGGATGGGACACATTACTTAACATTTCTGAGTGCCACTTTGCTCACGATGCTTACTGGACCAGTTTGTAATGCAGTTAATGAAATAATTTAAATATGTGGAAATGTTGTAAATGCTTAAAGTATGAAAAATTATAAGGTGTGTTTAAACATTAAAAAAATTTTATTTGTAAGGTTAAACTTGGCACCTCAATATTACTTTAATTTGTATTCAAAAGCACTTGTCTTGTATATTTGTATGTGGCAAAATGATAGCTGCTACAGACAGTGTAAATTTAGGAACCAAATTCTGTGGTGATTAGTTTCAACTGCAAGATATGAACTGTGTCTTCCTGATGATCACACTCCTGATTATCATCTTCCCGATGATCAGGAATTCTGCTTCCATACCTGGTCTGAGACTAGGATGGGCTGGAGACTTTCAAGAACTTTTAAGGCAAGTAACATGATTAAGGACCAAGCTGACAAAATAGATACTTGAAAACCCCACTACAAATTTCAACTACTATACACATATTATCCTATGTAATTATCTTATTTTTATCTCATGTAATCCTCATAGCCACTCTTCAAGGTAATCATTAATATTCCAAGCTTCTGTTCCTAGGAAAGTGAAGCTCAGGTTATATTGGCTATGTGAGGACAAGGGTTTAAGCTTAGGTCAGTCCGTGACCCTGGCTAATGTTCTATTTTCTTTCCATCTTGTGAAGAGGTAGCTTCTCATAGAATTAAAGGTCCCTGCCACGTAGGATAACCAAGAGTTTTTCTCCTACCTTCTTTGAGTCTTCCATCCTCCGCAGCTAATCCATGTGGGAAGATGGTCTTGACAAAAATCCCCATGGGTCCACGAATGCAGTCTCGCCCTCCAGCAATGGTAAAGCCAAGTCTCTATATTCAAAGTAGATGGGAGTCCCAGTTGACATTGCAGTATTTAACTGAGGGTGTACTTCTTATTGCACTATTTACTTACCTGAGGGCATCCTTTCCATCATAGCATTTAGCTGAAGTGACTGTCCCAAAAAGCTTGAAGTTAAACTAATCAATTAGCTTCAAATCCCAGTTTGCCTTTTTTCTCCATTTCCTGCTTCAGAACTATTTGGGTGGCAATAGCAATGCAAATAAAGGAAGAATGATTTAGGTGGAGATATATATGGAAACAATCCTTGACCTCCAACAATGGCAGTCTCATATGGATCAAATAAATAGTTCATGAGAGTCATTTCCCACCATGCAGATGCCAGGTTCTTTTTCTTCTTTTGTTTCAGTTTTTCTGTTGTTATATTCGTATAATATAATGCCATTCATATCATATCCTGTAGGTTAATGCCCATGACATGAAATTCACTCAGAAAGACAAGTGGGAGTGTTCCCTGAAATAGCAGGTTCTGCTTTCCTTTCAACAGAGCTAAAAGTTGGGGATCATTCACTCTACCCTCAATTCTGCCCTAGCAGCCCAGTGCTGGTGACTCTTCACATCAGAAGAGCAAAGAGTGTGACTATCTCACACTCCAAGGCCTACAGAAAAAATGGCAGGGAATACACTCGAATACATACAAAGGACACTCAAGTTAGCCCTCCTTATACCTGTAACTTCTTAATTCATATAAAACCAAAAAATAATAAAAACAAAAAAATTGGAAAACAATTAGTATCCACTTAAACATGAAGGGAAGAATAGTCCACAGAAAAGAGCTCACCTTGCCTTTTTGATGGTATAATCCAATGACAGAAATGACGGATGGCCGAATAAGTCTACAAGGTGATTCCACCTGAGTCAGAGGAATATAAAGGAAGATATTAATAGCATGGAACAGATGTTATCAGTTTGAGCTGTACAACTTCAGTATTAAAATTAGCTGCTCTAGTTAAAGCAATGCTCAGTAAAACGTAAAATCAGTGTCTGAGCCGGGCTCGGTGGCTCAGCCTGTAACCCGCGCCTTCGGGAGGCTGAGGTGAGTGGATTGCCTGAGCCTGCAGGTTCGAGACCCACTTGGGAAGGCAAGACCTCATCTCTACAATAAATCAAAAATTAACTGGGCATGGTAGTGTGTGTCTGTAATTCCAGCTACTTGGAAGGCTGAGGCGGAAGGATCGCCGGAGCC